AACTTGGTCAAATTTAGCAAAATTTGGTCAAATTTGGCAAATTTTGGCAAATCTCAGAAATTTTGGCATATTTTGGCAAATTTGTCTAATTTTAGTCAAAAAATTGATTTTAACAAAACTAGTATATTTAATAATTTTTATCAAAAAATGAAACAAATATCAAAATTTTATGTAAATCGACGGATTTTGGACGAAATTGGAAAAACCATTCAAAATTAGAGAAAAAGTGTATAAATTTATTGAATTCGATAAATTTGCAAAAGTATCGCTAAATTTAAAAAAATTGGATAAATTTTATTAGGAAAAATCTTAAAACAAAAATTAAGATACTTGAAAGATTGATCTGAAATTTTTATGAAAATTGCGAAATCACACAAAATTTTACAAAATTTGGTTTCAGTAGATATTTATCTAATTTTCATAATTAAAAAAATATAAATTCATATATACATTTGCGAAATGTTCCAAAACCTTAAAAATTTCTTTTGTTTGAATATCAAAATTTTATGAAAAAAACGGCAATTTTTGTAAAAATTGGAAAAACCACTCAAAAAAATTAGTGACAAATTATATAAATTTATAAAATTTGATAAATTTGCACAAATATTTCTAAATTAAAAAAAAAAGGAAAACTTTTATTAAGAAAACTGGAAAAATCTTTGGAAAAATTAAAATTCTTAAAAGATTAATAAAAAATCTGTCTTTCTTTTGAAATTCTTGAAATGAAAATCGCGTAATCCCTCAAAATTTTGCAAAATTTAAATAAATTTATTTGATTTCAGTAGATATTTATCTTATTTTTATTATTTAGAAAAAGTATTTGCAAAAGTAAAGTAAAAGTAAAATAATTACAAATTTCTAGATAAATAAATGTTTGCAAAATATTCCTAAATTAAAAAAAAAATCTTTATAGTTTCAAGACATCTCCAATTTTATTTGCTATCGATTTATAGTTTCTATTTGCAATTGGATCATGAATTTCAATCAAATAGCAACTTGCCAACAGGCACTACTAGTTAAAATAAAAATATTGCAAGTCGTCTTCAAAACCGCCAATAAATATTCTTACTTTTTATTTTTGAAAAATAATCAAAAACTTCACCCAAACCTGGGACAAAAAATACACAAACCTTCTGGGATAAAAAATCAATCATCCCTTATCCCTTATCCCTCACCAGACGCTGCACTTATGAACAGGATTCATAGGCGACCCCGAAGGACAATTGAAAGCTTTGGCGAAATCTTTCGAATTAGAAAGTGGCCCTAGCACCCTTATTATTCCCGGAGAATGCACCGAAGACCTTATCTTGGTAAGGGCGTCTTCTGGCCTCATTGACCCGCACCAGATCTGGGCGTAGTTTAGGAAAAATAGCTGGTCGTGGGTCATGTTGACCCCTGGTAGGGCCAGATCGGGGCCGTTGGTGGCCTTCCATTTCTGATAAGCCTAGATAAAGGGGTAAAGGATATATGATGGTATAATAGGCATATGTTGGTTTTTGGATGTTAATGGATATATATATATATATATATATATATATATATATATATATATATATATATATATATATATATATATATATATATATATATGAGTAAGTTCTTCAAGGGCATACATCAAATAAAAGGCAAAGATTTAGAAGTTAATCTTTAATTTTTCCAAACGTTTCGACATAGTATTTTATGTCATCATCAGTGGATATAAATATGGTCTTACATCAGTAGCTAGCGCAAGGCACATAATTTTGCACTATTATATATACACTAACTTGTTTTTTTTTTTTTTTTTTTTTTTTTTTAATTATTATTTTGTTGAACAGAGCATAGTAGTGGACTACAGCCTCGGGCTCGGTCAAATAAACTACGTTCTCTGTGCAAAATATATTATATATTTCACAAATATTTTACTATGCTCTGTTCAACAAAATAATAATTAAAAAAAAAAAAAAAAAAAAAACAAGTTAGTGTATATAATAGTGCAAAATTATGTGCCTTGCGCTAGCTACTGATGTAAGACCATATTTATATCCACTGATGATGACATAAAATACTATGTCGAAACGTTTGGCAAAATTAAAGATTAACTTCTAAATCTTTGCCTTTTATTTGATGTATGCCCTTGAAGAACTTACTCATATTTCTCAACATCAAAACTAACTTCTCTTATATATATATATATATATATATATATATATACGTATATATTACACCAAAGATCTTATATCATGAAAGTTGCATCT